TAAAATACGTTGAAAAAACTTTCCCAAAGTCAGCCCAAAATCCCAATCCCTAAAAAATATTCTTAGCATTTCCATCCATTTCTCCACTTTTTCCGATTCCAAAAAATTTCTGAAATGGAAACCAAGAGAGCAATGCCATTTATGTGCTTCCTAGATCACACCCCGGTTGGTGGAGATATCCGCAAGCCACAAAGTGGGCTTTGAACCTCGAGACACTACTGACACTTAATCTGAAAAAGCCATGTGTAAGAGATTAGTGTGTAACTATTTCAGGGAGCCAGATCCCATGTACAATTTCATTGAAGTGATTCATATTCCTCTACATGGAACCTTTCCACTTAGGGTCAATTAAAACCTTTTTCATACTAGTAGGTTCAATTCAATGCTGTGACAGGGGCAATACATAATTGTTTAGCATGTGGGTGAGGGGATTTGAATTCATTGTGAAGAAAGGAATGGAAAGAGGATCCAGTTGCATGAACTGTTGACAAGCTAATAAGGACGTAGGAGGGGAACTTGGTTGCATGGCCAGTTAGTTGAGGTTTAGCAGAATGATGAAATAGAAATATGTGTAGAACATATCAAACATGCTTGAAGACATAAGAACACGAAAGGATGGATGACCAAACATATGATGCCAGTTGCACTCAACTTGAACTTGAGAGGCATGTGTTTGTGGTGGAATAGTGACCTGTGCACAATAAACGACATAGTGCTTCTCCCTATACATTAAAGGTCTCCACCATATCCAAAACATCGGTCATGGTTGGTGTGAGAGAAAGACTTGCTGGTGGCTTGAGTATAATTGATCGTAGGTAGGATAGACCGGGTCAAGGTGGCAGCTTCTTGAAGACGAGACTCATGTTCTAAAACTACGCTAGGCGCTAGTCGGACTGTTGGTGGACGCCTAGCGGCTAGGCACCGACTAGGCGCTGACTAGTCCGGTTTTTTTGCCCGCTAGGTTTATTACTCATCCACACTTAAGTGGACCGACTAGGCCGGTTTTAGAACAATGGGTATTAACACAATGATATTAGTTCGCTTTTGTTGAAAAGAAGACCATTAAGAATGTTGATGATGATATTCTCCAATAGTAATTGATTTTAAGCTAAAACCAATGCTTCTGCAATCGCCTGCATTACCACAAGGTAGGCAGTAATTGAGAGAGATCCCTTTGTGGTGTGAGCCATCATTCTTCTTAGGGAGATGATTTAACCATGAAATGTGTTAGGCCTTGTTGGTTCAAAGGAGGGGAGGGAAGGGGAGAGTCAAGGAGGGAAGGGAAGGAAAGGGGAAGGAAGGATTTTGATAAAAATTTGTGTTTGGTTGGAGGAAATAGGAGGAAAGGTTTAATGAAAATATTTTCGCAATTTACTTTTATTTGATAGCTTACTTAAAAAAATAGATACATGTCTAACTATTGTGAATATTACTCCTATGGTCATGAGTCATAATTTTATTTTATTTGATTTTTTACTTTTTTAATTTTATAATTTTTCATTTTTCAGTGTGGATTTTTTTAATTTTTAATTTTATTTTTTAAATATTTTTATTTTTAATTTTTAAAATTTTTAATTTATAATTTTGAATTTTTTAATTTTTAAAAGTTTTAATTTTTTAATTTTTAAATTTTTTAATCTTTAAATTTTTAAGTTTTTAACTTTTTTTAATTTTTCAAAACTTTTTGTTTTTTACCCTTTTATATTATAACGTTTTATTCATTCACGTAGGAGATGGATAGTTTGTGATTATCAACACGTGTCATCCGAAATACCCCGATTTGGGGGATTTAGAATGGGAGGAAGTGGAGGATTTTGAAAGTCTTCCCCTTTCCTCCCCTTCCCCCTATTTCATTCAACCAAACACACACAAATCCCTCACTTCCTCCCCTCCCCACCGAAAACCTCTAACCAAACAGGGCCTTGGCATATGCAAGATCAGGGCCATCGAATGAATTTGGAGGCCCCGGTTCAAAATGAAAAATCGCGACCCCACATTTATATAAACTAAATACTTATACTCAAATCAATTAAATACCCATCAAAAGAGAACGAACAGAGTAAAAGGATCAACGAAAAATGATGGATCTATATTTTTCTTCTTTACTAGCTAACTGTATTTTATTGATTTGTATTAATATATAATATTACTATATAATACTAAAAAAATTAAAATTTTGGGGCCCCATAAATCCGGGGCCCCTGTTATAGATAACCTATTGAACCCCTAGTACTGTGCAAGATTAAGTTTGTCCCAATTCGATCTAATGACAACACTTATGATGAGTTTGTCTATCGATACCAGATGGTATACAACATATTTAGTTTTGTTTGAATTGATGTGAGATTATAACAATATAATCCACATAATCTTCAAGAGCCAATTTGATAAAACCGGAATGAACATGACATTTCCAGAATTGGAGATCTCATGTGTTAAGCTTGATGGGAAAGTGGTATGGTTTGGTGTTGACCATATTTGCGAATGCATAAGAAATATTGAATAGCTCATTAGAGCTCTTGATAGCATGAAGAATAATTCTAAGCAACACACAAATATATATACATCTATCAATTCGTATATCTCGTAGGAAGGAGTAAGAATGACAAACTCCCAAGCTAAAAACAAGGAATAGAAGTTATACTTACAAAGTATTAGAAAGATTTTGATTTTTCAATTATTGTGAAAGTAATACGGAGTACTTTTGATTCTAACACTGGGCATGGCAAAATTTATTACTATCACAATAATGCAAGGCTTAGCGCTAAAAAAGAAATAGTTAGAGGATAAAATGTATTTCGTCCATTAAATAGTCTCAAGCTAAGGAAAAGACCCGTTCAAGTATTTTGTCCTATAATTCATTAGTGTTGATTGATACGTTCGTAATTTCCATTTCTATGTTTATGTTTTTAATTAGTTTTGCTTAAATTTTACTTTGGAAATTACACACTTTTGGTGTAATAGATTAGATTGTTAAATTCTTGTAAATAGGTTAGATTAGATATATTCTGAGCTTAAGCAGGTTTTGGTCACTCAGAGTACAGTTGGTGAACCCAAAAAGTGAAGAGAAGGTGCAAAAGTTCAAAGACAAAAGAAGATCCTGAATTTTGGTCTATACTCGGTCGAGTATTAGCTATACTCGATCGAGTATTAGCTATACTCGATCGGGTATTAGGTTGGAACTTCAAATCGGATCAGATCCGAAGACAAAGGAACATGCAGGGAAGATTTTGGCCACGATTCTATGTCTATACCCGATCGGGTAGACCGACATACCCGATCGGGTATGCCTTTGAATTGCAAACGAAGATCGGTCGAGTATAGCCCGAATACCACTTTCTAAGCATACTCGACCGGGTATTCATATATACTCGATCAGGTATACACTTAGAAAATAGCCTGAAACCGGTCGAGTATACCTCGGATCGGGTGTTACACACATACTCGATCGGGTACCATGTATATACCCGATCGAGTACCCGAATCTCATCCCAAAAACCTATAAATACACCTCCTTTCCTTCACAAAAAGATATCCAATTCCTTTGTACATCTAAGCTCAGTATAGAATAGCTCTTTCTTTATATTTTTCATCATGTTTAGTCTCCAAATGAGGAGTTAAACTCTTCCATCTTGGTTTTGCTACTTTGAAGCTTAATGAATTTGTAAGTTGTGAGTTATTTTCTTTAATCTTCTTCCTTGAATATTAATTCTTTCTTTCAAAATACTATCTCTATATCAAAGTTGGGGAGTGTTACTAAGATGACAATTAGTTAACATCTTGACATTGGTTATAGTAATAGCTATTTCTTCCTCTATGATAATATTGGGGAGTGTTACTAAGATGACAATTAGTTAACATCTTGATATTAATCATAGTAGGATTCATATATTTTAATATTCTTACTTGAGTATTAATTAATTCCTATTCATATTTCATGTTAATATCTTAAACATTACTTAAAGTATCACCTAGTATTGTTTCTCATATTAATTATTACTAGAATCAATCGGTTAATACGCTTGTTATTAATCCGGTTCTTTCTATGGTAGTAAACTTGGAATATTAATGCATGCATCTCATGGTTAATATGCCAAGGGGAATTAATTATATTGATTAAACCAATAAACCGCTTGTGTTGAGGTTATCAATCTCAATCGTTTTCATCTTAAGTTTATTGCTACTATCAAGTTAATATACGGCGCTTGTTCTATATTGACTCGATAGTAAGTTTTATTAATGAACGCATCTCGTTATTAATAACTACCCTCGATGAACTGGATATACTCCTCGATTGAGTATTCGAGAGGAAGATAGTTAAAGATATAACCGGGATCGACGAACATTTCATTAAGTGGATAAAACCAAAACCAAGTCCCCATCTCATTGAATTAAACTCATATAGGTCGTTTATCTTCGTGTTATTAAACCAAACAAATCTAAACCCCCCTTTTTGTTACTACTCATATAAAAGAAAAGTATTCTTTTCCCTGTGGATACGAACCTTACTACACTATACTACGTATTAGTGTCGTATTGATTATTTATTTTGAGTGCACCTAACGACGAGTGCACGTCATTGATCGATCTGAAAAATTCAAGAAAACATCAAATTTCATTGTGTGTTCATCACGTGCCCTACATTTTTGTTCTTTTTTAGAAATTTATTTTTAAACTGTACGTTTTTATTATTGACGAAAATTTATTTTTAGAAGTTACTCTTTAACTATCTAAAAGATAAGGGATCAATTAGACATGGTTTTTTTTAAAACAAAAAACTACCAACAATTACGTGTTCTAGCATTCATATTTGGCCAATTTTGTGGAAACAATCGAACAATCTAATCACTTGCCTTCACTCCACTAATATGTATGTTATCTTCTTTACTAATTGACCTCTCCTAGCTTAGTCTCCTCACTCCACCCCCACATTTCAAGCTTAGCTAGCTATTAGCATACTGTAAGAGATAGGGTGCATTGTTAAGTAAAATGATAATTGCCTTCTTAGCAAGCTTGTTGTTTTCATCCTGCAATGCTTTGTCCTATGAAAACAATTAGAGAACACAAGTTAATATTTCATCATACTTGCATGCATGCACACATACAAATCATATGTATGCCGCATGAATAAAAAGATTTGAACTCTAATTATGATATTATTATTATTTTATATGAGCTCAATCAAGTGCCCAAAGTATGAATCATTACATTATAATATATCTTTTCAAAGGAATAAATTCCATACTCGGGCTGCTAAAATGTGTTATTTCTAGCTCAAGTTATCTACCATCTATGTTAATTTACACGGTGTTAGTGACCTCGTCTGATACGTATAGATATAAGGGATAATTTGACTATGCACTCCACATTTTAGGTGATATTGGACTTTGCACCTCATTTTAAAAAAACTTTCACATTGCACCTCATTCCACTTAAAGTTCCTATGAGTTTGCACCCCATTTCCTCTTCACAAAATGTTATGTATTGGAGTGCAAAATCAATGTTTTTCATAATGGGGTGTAAAGTTCAATATCACTCAAAAAGTGAGGTGCAAATTCAAATTCCCCCTATTATAACAATAAATGAGATGTACACACCATAAATGAGATGAAAAAATATGCAAATGCACAAACACAAAAGTCCTCACTTTTTTTTGGTGCACGGAAATGGTTTCAAACATGAGTTGATTCTGCAACAAAAACATATACACAAAAGTGGAATTACTTTGCATTGGAAATAAAATAAGAATTTGAAGCAATTTCCGAGATGGTAACTTTTTTTCCTTTTACCTTTCTTGACCTGATATTTTTAAGAGCAGAATCTAGTTGGCGCTCAAGATTCTGAAGCTCTTTAAGGTTTAACGAGTCCAAATCTTCTCCCTCATAATGCCTACATATCCCACAATTATAATAACTTCATTATAAACCAGTAGAGGATCCAAGTTGGTACAAAATGAAATTGAAAACCCAAATAAATTATTTTTAGTATTTATGTTTAGAATAAAAACATATAGATTGTTGGGTTTGCCCAAAATCCCCATGCCTTTTTTCTTGGACTTGTTTCATGGGCCCAATCTTGACCTCGTCTTGAAATCTTAGAAACATGAGGTTTATCTTGAATTTCGTAAGTGTATATTATTCTATAGAATTATCTCCAATATTTTTTTATAAGAGCAGACCATGTTTTATATTTATTTTTATCTTATCATTTTATCTTTTTTATCCTTCTTCTCATTCTTATCTTTTTATCTTATCATTATCCTTCTTCTCTTTTGGGATTAAGCAACTGTTGTTGTTGTTGTTGTTATATTTCCAAGACAAGACTTCTATCGACAATTAAGCACCCCAAAGCCATTTGGACTTTTGACAATCAAGCATCAACAATTAAATCCTCATGATCATATCACTACAAACGTTTGTTGACTATCCTGTAATAGAGAGCTTTCTAACTAGTTGTACTTCGTATTTCTGTATGTGTTTTGTGCTCTCACTACACAAAGCCATGTTTGGGCACAATATTTGGCACAAGTAACATTTGTACCTAAATAGGCATAGACTTTGGCACAATGGCATGAGTATTCTTGAAAATGTAATTTCCGCATAGGCTTTAGTGTTTGGCAGATATACTCAGATAGTGCATTGCCAAAACATGGCACAAACTAAGAGCATCTCCAATTAACTATGTACGCGTGGCTGGAGAGATATGTATATATATAGACATAAAAACAATTAAGTAACAGAAAGTCTTTCACTTTCTTTTCACGTCATAATAAATTTTTGTTACTTTTTATTCACAATATGTCGAACACAATGTCAAGATCTAGGGATTGTGCTTGACATTGTAGATAAAAAATAATTGAAAAACCATTGCACTGTGGAAAGAGTGAGAGATTTGCATTTGAGATGTTTAGAGTGTCGACATATAAGCATATTTCCTTTAGCTGTAAACTCGAGTCTATGCTACAATCTCCCCTAAATGGCATGTACTCAACCTGTTAATAATCAAGACTTACTGTTAAGACCTATGGTTCCATCTAAATTGTGTGAGGAATATTTCAACACCCCTCTTCATGACCAAACACTTCTTTTTTATTGTGTCATCATTCACTTTTTCATCGATTCGTCATTGTCAGTTTTTATAATCATAGTCATTTTCATAGGGGGGCAAATTATAGTTATAGATCAATTTGACTATGATATCATATTAAAACTCGAGCTTCCATCCTCAAATATCAACCTACTAGATGGAGTACCCTTATACATATGTTACCGGTGCATAGAATATTTCAACACTTTGTAGTTTATACTAAATGATAATTGTGAGGTGAACTTATATTAAGGTACCTCTGGTTTATCTGCAAAATCTCCATTCTGGCCTTGAGCTTTGCATGCTCTAGAGTCCAACTTCCCTACAGATAAAGGTTGAACACATTAAAGCTAAAAGTATGTTTGTATAAAAATGGAATACATCTGTGTAAAGGCAGGCATACTTGAGAGTCTGGATCAGCTGGATTTAGTTGCCTTTCTGCATATGAGTATCTTTCGTATCTCTCAAGTATCTTTTCCATGCTAGTAGAATAGAATAAAAATTAAATTAAAAAAAACGCAGTTAACCCGATACTAGCACCATATATAAGTAATAAAGTTCCTTTTTTTTGAAAGGAAGTAATAAAGTTCCATAATTTTATTCTATGCAATTTTATTATACAGTATGTTATTTTGGTGACGCAAAGGATAATTATATGGTTGGTCAATATATGTCACTATGTGCGCCGGCCCATCCTAAATCTGTTGGTTAAAGTTCAAATGCTGCTAAGTCTCTACAGTTTCAGCCTCTTGAATTGGGAGATCACCAATTCCAATATTCAAACTGGAGTTGGCAAAAATAAAAATTGGAGAGTGGGCAGTTGAGGTGGAAAAATACTGAAGTGCAAATTGTTCGAATGAAAGATTTAAGTTTTAGAATCAGGTGATGTAGTGTTAATGGGGGGGGGGGGGGAATCTGAGAGAACTTGAAACTCTTATTATATAGTTAGAAATGTAAGAGGAGTGCCTCATTTATAGTTCCTTCCAAGATCTTTCTAATCCCTTCTAGCTACATCTCTTACATCCTTAAAGCGACTCATAAGCCCCATCTCCAACGGGAATATTTAGCCAAGAGCAGGTTGTGTGACATGTTCCCCCACAACACTCTGGAAGTAAGTTGTATCACTCAATTCTATGTAGAGATCTTTCACCTTTTTTCTTGTAAGTTGTCAAGAGACATCTCACACCTTCTTGGAAGGAGCTCTCCAACAAATAAACATGGGAGAAGATATGAAGATAACTATGAAAGCTTGGATGCAACTTCCTCTTGTCTCCAAACTAGACTATAAATAGAGTGTTTTATTGTTGTTCATATCATCAGTTTCTAAAGTTAGAAAAGTGTGTGAAGAGTGAAATACACTTAGGAGGCGTTTACTTCGCTGCTAAAGTCACAGTTAGGTTAGTAACACAAGTGAAGTAAACATGCAAGTTGTTTAAAACGTTGCTTACTAACCAAAAGAGGTGTTTGAAGTGTCGCTTACTAAGCATACCACCCTCATTATTATACTCCCTCCGGTTCGTATTTAAGTTCCCAGTTTGACTTCACACATATTAAGAAAATGAATTTGACTTTACTGTGGAGTGCACTGTTTGGCACTGTTTGGACACTGTTTGACACTGTTTGGCACTGTTTTGCACTGTTTTGTTTCCTAAAATGGAAGTGTGAACTTAAATAAGGGACATCCCAAAAAGGAAAGTGAGAACTTTAATAAGAACCGGAGGGAGTATAAGCGGCACTTTAAACTTTTTCAGTTTCCGAACTTACCCTTACCTTTACCCCTTGCCCTTACCCTATTGCTACCCCACTACCCCGCCCTACCCTACCTTACCCCGACCCACCCCGACTCCAACCCCACCCTGACCCCCCGACCCCACCCTTGACCCAACCATACCCCACCTTACCCCGACCCCTCCACCACCTACCCACCCCCACCCTCACCCCTTACCCTACCCCTGTACCCCTACCATGACCCGACCCCGACCCCACCCCCCTACCCCGCCCAATCCCTACCCCTTTACCCCCTACCCCCACCCTTGACCTGACCATACCACACTCCCACCTTACCCCTATCCCCTACCCTCCACCACCTGCCCTACCTTACCCCCACCTTCACCCCTTACCCTACCCCTTTACCCCCTACCTCTTCCCCTACCTTGGTTTTTTTGTAATAGTTGAGTGTGAGAGTTCGCTCCTCCTATTGTAATTCTGTTCTTGATATTGAATAGAAGAATTTTCTAATCCCAACAAGTGGTATTAGAGGAAGGTTGAGTTTTCATACACTTTTTTTTCATTTTTCAGAAAAAATTTCTACAGGTTACAAAATCGTGATTTTTGAAGTTGCTCTGAATCACGATCTCATCATACCATTGGATTCGTCTCGACGAGAGGAGAAAACTGGTATTTTTGGGGAATACCCGAAGCAGCCGTACGCACCACCCATCGCCGGAGAGTGGGGTCACTCTCGGCCACGCAGTGTACGCACCAGCCAGAGGAAGAAGACGACCAGTTAGCCACCACGTCATCTCCAGGTCAGCGCGACGTGGTGATGAGTCAGTGCCACGTCATCCGTTCCGGTCGCCAGTTCCACGCCACATCATCCGACACGTGGCGCCACGCCAGCGCCAGTGTAGAGCCAGCTTCTGCCACATCATCCGCCTGCCGGTCTACACATTGGGCTGCTGCCTGAACCAAACCGAACCGGTTTGTACTTGTGGATGCCGGTTCACCCGTTTTCAGACCGGCTTTGAATGAGGTCAGACCAGTTCCTACCATTTTCGACCATTCCGGATCCAACGGTGAGCTCCATTTGTCCAAATTCGTCTTCGAAAATAAGGTACGAGATATATTGAGCGTTTTATTATGGATAAATCATCATCGGACACCATGATTGCGCTCACTTCCACAAACTACAATATGTGGAAGCCTCGGATGAAGGATTTGCTAAATTTGAGGGATTTAGCCAATGCTCTTGATAATAATGGCGTCAAATCGGATAAGAAGACAGATGAAGAATAGACAAAAATGAATCAAAAGCTGTCGCACAGATTCGACAGTGGATCGATCATAGTGTGTACCACCATGTTGCTTAAGAACAGAGTGCTTACACACTATGGGAGAACCTTGGTAGCATGTATCAAGCAAAAACCACCAAATAAGACGTTACTAATGAGGCGATTAGTAAACCACAAGTTACGATGTGGTATTTCGGTGTCAGAACACACCAGTCAATTCTAGGATCTCGTGAATCAGTTGAGCACCACCGGATGGGTTCTCAAAGATGAAGAGCAGACGATACTACTCTTGAAGTCTCTACCTGACCGCTGGGATGTTGGGGTATTTCACGTAGGGGGTGATAATCGAGTACTTGGATTGCTTAAGGATCGTGTAAGTTCACTTTCCGAATTGATATTTCTCCCCTATGTCTGGGTTACAAGAAATTCAATCCAGGATAATCCTTAAGGACACTCTAGAACTTAGGCACAAGAACTAGTGAGTATATGGATTGATATCTTAAGTTGAATACCGAAAATGATGAAGATATGTTGGATATGTTTTCTCATCCTTCTTTGTACGAAATATGGTGATATATAACCATATTACACGTCATGGGTAGTTACAACACGTTCTGGAATAACTGTGAAAGTTTTTGGAAAAACTGCACGAAACTGCCCAACCGCTCTAGACCTCGGTCTAGAACCACAGAGTTGGTCTACTGAGTATTCTACCTCGAGTTCCACTGCCGTAGACACTTTGGAATAGAACTCGTTCTTATATACAAGTGTGCACTCCACACCTCCTAGCTTGTATTAGAACATGGTTCTAATCATCATTGGCACTCGTGTCATTTCCAATTACACAAAATGGCCGGTGACACTAAAATCACCAACAATCCTCCCCCATTTTAGTGTAACCCATGAAATGACATAACAAAGTTCACAAATCAAAACTTGCACATAAATGGAAATGTCGATACGATTGAATTTCCATCTTAGTATTTTACACATTCAAAATATTTTACACTTCAACCCATTTGAATACCTCAAGATAAAATACATACAAGTTTCTATACTCAACTAGAATACAAACTTGACACAATTATAAAGCCGTGTGTCCTAATCCCATTCATGATCGTATAAAAGAAAAGTCCCAAGCTTTTTGAAGTGCGGCTACACTTTACGATCATATAGGTACTTCCTTTACTCGTGTACCTGCTTACACTTTATCAAAGGAATTATTAAGAAATAAATTCAGCATCCCTACTACAGGTCCGAACACACACCTTGGGATGATTTTCATTGTGTGTTCCAATCCATTAAGTGTGAGCTTTCCGCATTTAATTCAGCCTCTAACGTTATATTAGAGGGGAATTGGGTGTCTCACCATTAAGGATTAAAAGGACTTTAAACCCATCCCTATAACAGACTTGTGCACTAAGTCCCGGGCCAAACTTTTGGTCAAGTGGTCCGCCAAGTTATGTTGCGATCTTACAAATTCCACCGAAATTACACCATTCATGATTAGTTCTCTAATCATACTATGTCTAACACCTAAGTGTCTAGACTTGCCATTATAAACATGACTATACGCCTTTGCCAAAGTGGCAGCACTATCACAATGGATAGAAATAGGTGCAATCGGCTTCCTCCACAATGGAATCTCAAATATTAAATTTCTTAACCACTCCGCCTCTTTACCGGCGGTAGCCAACGCAACAAACTCAGATTCCATTGTTGAACTTGTGATACAAGTTTGCTTCTTGGATGCCCAAGAAATGGCACCTCCCCCAAGCAAAAATACCCAACCACTTGTAGAAGAATGATCCTCTACATTGGATATCCAACTTGCATCTGAATATCCTTCTAAAACCGAAGGATACTCAAAGTAACACAAACCATAATCCATGGTTCCCTTTAAATACTTGAACACTCTCTTCATTGCTTGCCAATGTTGAGTACTAGGATTACTAGTATATCGGCTCAACCTACCCACGGCATAAGCAATATCCGGCCTAGTGCTCGTCATGGCATACATCAAACTACCAATAGCTTGAGAGTACTCAAGTTATGAGACCGCCTTTCCTTTATTAGGCATCAACTTTACACTAGGATCCATGGGAGTACCAACGGGTGAACAATCACTATAATTAACCCTTTTGAGAATATTCTCAACATAGTGAACTTGTGTCAAAGCAATCCCTTTGTTTACCCGTTTAATCCTTATACCAAGGATCACATCCGCCTCCCCCATGTCCTTCATGGAAAACCTTGATGATAACAACCTTTTGGTTTCATCAACCTGATTTTGGTCAGCTCCAAAAATCAGCATGTCATCAACATAGAGACATATGATCACACCCGCCCTTAAGGCATCAAATCGGCTATAGACACACTTGTCCGATTGGTTTAAACTAAAACCATTGGAAAAAATAACTTTATCAAACTTTTGATGTCATTGTTTGGGTGCTTGTTTCAGCCCATACAAT